GCTAGAGCTCAGTGGAATTTCACTTGCCCTACAAGTTCATTAAAACTAATGTGGCCAGCATCCAATGTCGAAGATTCACAGAGCTATTTATTATGTGGATTTATTTAGCGCCATAGATCACTCCCCTCCTAGTGGGGCAGTGATGAACTTAAGACGCGGCCAGCCAGAAGTTTAAACCCAACGAGTTTGTTGTTGGTAAACACTCTTCTGATAGCTTGCTAGGTTTAGCAGCGTTTGGTTGTCTTTCCTTAATATAAGTGACCATGTAGTGCAATATAGTAATAAAAAAGATACAATGAAATTTTCGTTTCATCGTAAACTTTGTCGTTTTTTCGACTTTTCCAGCCGTCCTGGAAAAAATAGATATTTCAGTGCATGTCGCAATACACTCACATGTGCGTAAAAACACAAAGCGGGAGAAAAAAGGAAAATAAACTCATGTTTACGTAAAAGGAATTTTACTAAATGGTTCTTTTGTTTATTTTTTGAAATCGAAATATAAATATAGAAGCATATTAAAATTGTTTTATTCAGAATTATATATAACAAAAAGGAAAATCGAGATGATATAAAATGTCAACTAGTACATTAGGCGAAATAATTGATCAGACGTTTTGGAAATCTAACTCTTCTCCCAGATCGCGTAGTTTTAAGATTATTTTCAGATACTGTCGAAGTATCATCGTGCGTGCTGGCTCTTGAATGAGGTATTATAAGTGTCGGAGTCGTGTCGTTCGTTTGTATCGAAGGAAAATCGACGTGGATAGGATTTCCTTCTAAATACGCTGAGTTGAGGCGATTGATGCTGATGCTAACGTTGGTTCCGTTCTTATCGATTATAAAGCACTTGGGTTTACGTTGAACAACTTTGAAAAGTCCTTCGTATGCTGATTCCAGAGGCCATCGATTTGAGTCTCGACGAACGAAAACGTGCGTACTATATCGTAAGTCAGGTTGAACGAAAACATCAGTTGATTGTGTTCGAGTGGAGACAGGTTTAACTGAACGCACTGCGTTTGTAAGCCTGTTTCTGTAGGAGATTAGATCCATGTTCATTGAAGAAGACGAAGGATCCACGGATTCTCCTGGAAGTCGAAGTGTCATTCGATAAACCAGTTGAGCTGCAGTGTATTCAATGTCAGTTTTCACCGCATTGCGAATACGTAGTAAGACGAGTGAAAGGGCGCCGGTCCACCGAGAAATGTTTGCAGCTGGTAATGAAGCTCTTAGTTGTCGATGAAGGCGTTCTACTGGCCCGTTTGCTTGTGCGTGATAGGCGGTCGTTCGGAAGCGATTGATTCCTAATAGTGCGGCCAGACAAAGGAAACGTTGAGATTCGGATTGGCGTCCGCGATCTGTTGTGATGTTTGAAAGAGAGCCGAAGTTTGCTACCCATCGTTCGAAGAAGGCGCGAGCCACTGTTTCGGCGGTAACGCCCTTGATAGGTACTGCTTCTCGCCGTCGAGGATAACTCGTGCTCAAGGTCAGCGTCTCCCTTTTGAAGCTCGGCGAGTTTACGAAGGTCGATTCGTTGAAAACCATTCAAGAAAGTTATGCGAGACAAGGCGTCTGCGACTACATTGTTTGCTCCAGAAATATGTTGAATGCCTGAAGTAAACTGAGAAATTTATTCCAGTTGTCGAGACTCACGTGGTGAGTACTTGTCCGACTATGAACTTAAAGAAAAGGTAAGCGGCTTGTGATCGGTAAAATGAGTGAGGTGTTGGTCCTAAATAGAGTGTTGAAAACGCCGTACAGCACAATATATGGCTAGGAGTTTCCTACCGAAAGTGCTGTACCTCGATTCAGTGTCTAGCAACCATCTCGAGAAGAATACCAAAGGTTGCCGGGAGTGTTTTACCCATTGTTGTAAGAGTCCTCCGATTGCTGAGTCTGATGCATGTACTGCGATACTAACGGGCGCTTGAGTGTCCTGTTGTGGGAGCATCGTTGCCTTTGCTATGGGTTCCTTAACTGTGAAGAATGCTTGTCGCGCGGTATCGTCCAGACTAATGGATTTCGCATATCCACGAAGTTGGTTGGTTAGCGGTTTCATAAGTGACGCGCATTTCGGTATGAACCGTCTATGGAAACTTACAAGTCCGTTAAATGTGTGCAAATGCTTAATCGTGATCGGTTCTGGGTAATTCAGAATGGCCACCACTTTGTCCCTAAGAGATCGGATGCCTTGCTCATTAATAGTGTGTCCTGGGAAATCTAAGGAGTCGGCTCCGATTTGGCATTTCCGAATGTTTACCGTGATGCCATGTTTTTGTAGTCGTTCGAACACAAGATCCAGATGCTGGAGACGCGATTCGCTGCCCGGAATGGCTATTAAGCAGCCATCAACATGCGCATGTACGAAGTTGAGGCCTCGAAAAACGTTATCTACGAACCTTTGGAAAGTTTGGGCAGCATTTCTTAGACCGAAAGGCATTCGCAAAAATTTGTAGAGTCCGAAGGGTGTTATGATAGCGGTTTTTGGAATATCGTCAGTAGCCATAGGGAGTTGGTTATACGCTCTAACCAAGTCGATTTTCGAAAAGACTGTTGTACCTTTCAAGGTAGCTGTCAAATCGTGAATGTGAGGCAACGGGTAATGATCAAGAGTGGCTTTCGCATTCAATCGCCGATAGTCACCAATTGGACGCCAATCGTTGCTGTCCTTTTTAGATACCATGTGCAATGGAGATGCCCATGAGCTGTTTGACGGTCGAATGATTCCTTACTCTATCATGTGATCGAATTCGCTTTGAGCCAACCTCAGCTTTTCGGGATCCAGTCGGCGTGCTTTCGAGAATACAGGAGGTCCTGTAGTCGTGATGTGATGCGTAACATTGCTGGTTACGCACAGAAATTTTGGTTGCGGTTGGTATTTCCCAGAATACGTATCAAGTAATGGTTGATAGAATGGGTATGTCGTGTACCTGACTGTGATGGGAGATAATCTGCAACTAGAAAAAGAGGTATAGCAAACAGATAAATTAGTGTTTCCGTCTACTAACCTCCGTTTGCGCGTATCGATGATTAGATTGTGGTGTTGTAGGAGGTCTATACCAATGATTGGCATAGAAACACCTTCAACAACAAAGATCCAGTGAATGGATTTGCGTAAACCTACGTTAAGGTAAGCGTACCTTTTACCATATGTAGCGATAGGCTTTCCGTTTGCTGCCTGTAGGTTTAAAACCGATTCATGAAGCCGGTCGTTGGGATCCCCTGGAAGAACGCTAACTTCTGCGTCAGTATCGACGAGGGGGCGAACTTTCATTACCACATCTGTGACGCATAGAAGACGGCTATGTTTGCCGGCTACGGTTGGCGTAACTGCATGCCGACTTGGAAGCTTCCCGAGTTGTTTTTCGTGTCGGTCGGTTCTGAGTTGGGAAAATTGCATGGTTTTCTGAGATTTCTGGAGGGCTTTCCATACTCGTTATGATACCAGCACCAGTCGTGGTTGTCCGTCTCTTGTGGTCTAGAGACAGATCGCTTACGTGACGTGCTTCTTCGAGGGGTGTGTGACCGTTTACGGTCGTTACGAAATCTAAGATAACGTGTAAGTGTATGACATAACTCTGTAATGTCATTCTGGGTCGTCTGAGGTTTTTCTTTGACTGAAAAACCTCAGTATTAGAAGATTTGATGATTTCTAGGATGCGGTCGGCAGATGCAAACTCACAGTTTGCAATTTGGTTTACCAGATCACGTCGGGCTCACCAATGAAGATGCACAGGTATTTGGAGTTTGACAACGCTCTAACCAGTAACACTTAATATGAATCGTGTCAACCAAGTGAGATGAAAAGACAGAAGTGAGGAGGTTCGACAATATATTTGATAGACTATCAATATATCGAGAATCGTCTGATCTTATCTGGCTAGCGATTGCAGTAGATGTTGAGCACGGTGTTCCCACTCGTGATCTGGTGTGGATGCATGATCGAGCGCCTTAAGCTAAGTGAGTCTATTAAAACCAATGTGGTCAGAATCCAGTGTCGAAAACTTACAGAGCTACTTATTTTGGGGTTTTATTTACCGATAAACACTATTTTCATGTGGCTACTCACCATGAAATATTTTGCCTGACACATGTAATGTCGCTTGATGGTAGCCTATCAGTTTACTAATTTCGCCGAATAATTTAGTGAAACGTAAGCCAACTGTTCCGGAACTCTTCATAGAGCAACGATGATTATTTACTGACTCAGAGGAATTGTCCCACAATAAGTCATGAAACGTGAGGAATGCGACTTCCTTTTGAGATATAACGAAAACATAATTATTATCAACCTTCCGCACAATGCTCAATTCATTTGAAACCACCAAGTCCAACTTTGGAATCGATTCCTATAATAACGTACCTTGAGTCACCAGTCAACCTACCTTAATTTAGATATATCTCAATCTCACTATCCTCTAAATTGTGGAAAGAGACGTTGCTTATATGCAGTCACTTGTACATTTATAAGGAAATACCTGAATGAAGCTACATAGATTGTAAACGTCTCTAGAGTTCGTATATTGAGGTTTTCTTACTACATTGCTGAATTGTATGAATGCACTTGTTATCTGAACACCGTAGCGTAAGGACTGCCATAATGAAACAACCCACAACATACCGTATGTAAACTAGACAGCGTACTCATTACCACAGAGTGGTGAAATTTAATGTTACCTAACGACATCTTTGTAATGAATATGCTGTCGACAAACCTTAACAGTAAAAATGTCATTTTGAGGATGCATAGTTTTGTGAAAAGCGGATTGAACTGAGAAGTCATTTTATCAACTATGAATAATTCGCTTTATTTATCATTTAAAAAGATTATGCATACTTCTAGTTAGAACTATTGTGAATAAGAAAACAGAAAAGCTTTTTAAAAAATACAAGATAAAAAACTCAAAGCATTTTTGTAGAAAAAATAAAATGCTCGAGAAATAATAAATCTCAACAAAAATATTGTTTGATTTGATCATCAGTACTATTTGTTGTTCCATGTATCAAATTTCTTCAACAAGTCGGAGACGAGAACAATTTTCCATATTTTCCGTCACACATAGGCGCTTACCTTTAATCGATAAAACCGAATTATGAACATCTTCATGTAACGTTGGTGATATAATAGTTGAGTTGCTGTGAAAATTATGAAAATTTTAAACAGGACAAATAAATTATCAAACAAACCAATAGGCTTAATTAAAACTATGAGTCAACTGCTAAGCATAAGTCCGTGAATAAATATTTGATACAAAAAAACTCAACTTTCACGTTATTCATTAAATTACACATGAACAGGTAATACCAAGAACAATATAATGGAAAAAGAACTAGAGATTGAAGTTAATTTGTTTGTAGAAGTGAAATTTCGGAGTTACAATCAAGAATCAAATAAAGAAATCCAATCAGATGCAAATATAACCAAAGGCGATAAAACAAATGGGAGTGAAGGATTACTTGTTGATTGACGTCCTTCAAGTTGGTCTGATTATTTGTCACTGTATATCAACAACATTAACACAAAAACGACTCCAAATTCCTATTAAACACATGTAATTAGCTTTATATCAAGTAACATAACCGAAATTGCACTACTCTCGAGCAAAACAGCGATCTCTCAATGGATCATAGAACACATGTGAGCGAAAAGGTAAACCAACTGATCATGTTTCTACAGTACGAAATTGGGGAACATTTGTTAGTTTGTGATTCATGCTGCATAATAATTCCGTCAGTTCCGAATTCCTTTTGTTTCGCTGGCTACCACGGTCCATGTTTGATGAGTAGACTTGTGGGATGAGTTTCCGAGCGTAAACTAATGCAATAGACATTTATTTTAATTCTGTTTTCACAGCTATTCGAGTATCAAACCAGATTAAACCGAAATGAAAATCACTCTGGTGATTGAATGCCATATTAGTTGTTCATAAAAAAAACATAATCTTGATTATTTTATCGTTAACATGGACTTCCAAGTTTTGCCGTTGTGTCTTTGGTGCTTTTGTTGAAACGCAGACAAACGTGCGCTCACACTAAAGCATCAAGAGCCTGAAAGTTCTCCATAATAGGCGACAGATTTTTATCAGGCTTCTCTAAAGACGACTGATGGTAATGTGGTCAATCTGGACTAATCGATGAGTTTATTTTGAAAGTTATCAGTATAAATTCATCCACCGTTCTCAAACCAATCAGCCTGGCATGGTAGGTCCTACAGAAATAACTGTTTTAGTCAATAAAGTTCAATTTAATCAGAACTATTTGAAAGCCTGATCACCACGTCAAGCCAGCAGCTACGATAAATAGATCGGTTGAAACCAGATACCGACTTCTTTACTTCAGTGTATATGATATATCAACAAAAGCTAAGAATGAAATTCCACCACCTCTCGATTATTTTGTGATCTTATGGTTTTGAACATGCTTAGACGAATTAAAATTACCAAGAAAGTATTTGGAGGAATCCTGAATCCAGTAAAATACTTGGAAATCATAATTCGAAACCCTAGTAACATAATAATGTAAACCGCGTAACAATAAAGATATGTGGTCTACTAAAGTTGGCAACATAAGAAAACCGGTATAAATTTCATTAAACCTGATACATGTTAAAAAAGAATTCTAAGAACACAAGCATTGAAGTAAAGTAGAAGTATGTGATAGTTTAGATTTCACCAAGTGAAGCGAAAAATCAAAAGAACCGTGGTAAAATCCTTTTTGTATGTTACGTAGATAGATAGGCGTGCATGTGTGAGATAATTTTTCCATATGAGTATATTGTTTTATCCTCCCCAACCCTCCATAATAATGTGCATGGAGTTCAACTCTTGATTCATTAAGAGATTGTTATTTTGTTTAAGTTTTGAGCCTTGATCATTTATCTGATTCTACTCCGTCTTTTGCTGAATGTGCTCAGTTCGAATTTACCTAACTCTATATTATACCAGCTATTTTGTTGAATGATCGAATTTTTGATGATTTTGCTTGGTTCAATAAATACGCAAAAAATAGAAACTTCGTTCGTTGTATGTTTTAAATGTATACTGCTATAGAAAAATAACTTATCGCGCAATTCTTGAATCCAATATAATTATAATGTTCCTGCTTGATCGCGAATTATCAAAACGAATTCCTTTCTAGATAAGAATAAATTTTGTTACTGAAAACGTGAACATACCCGACTCTGTGGGAACTGATTGACTTCATAGACACTGTTAAGAACTATTCAGGTGTTCTATATCTATACTTTTTATACATATCGTCGAAGAAAATCAGTACCACTTAATAATCGAGTTATGGAGTTCCTGATTGTTTGGTTCGGTAGGTGTGAAACGGTTATAACAACCATCTATACAGAAGTTTAACTTCGATTAGAGCTTTTACAGCGTTGCTGTCATTCCAGAGCCCAGATAAAGGAGGATTATCTCATACACATAGTTCCCTTTATTATCTTGAAAAGAGCACCAATATATGTTCTTTCTCTCTAAGAGGAGGATTAAGCACATGGTTGGCAAAATCATCACATGGAAAACAACTTTGTTGAGAAAGCTAGCCACAAAACATCACTGGAACAGGAGCTATGATGTTCTTGTGTGAGCCGAGACTCCTTTGACATCACAAGCCGATGTCCCTTCTAACAAAAACTACTAATCAGCACATGGAATGTTCGCACAATACAGGAGACCAGAAGCGTCAGTTGAACAGTTGTGGAAGTGAAGAGATACAACCTGGAAGTGCTCGGAATAGGTCAAACCCATTGAACGCAGGCTGAATAGAAAAGATAGGATTCGAGAGATGCTGTTGTACTCCAGTCGTGAAGAACAAAATGCTTCGCACACTCAGGGAGTTGCATTGATGATGTCCAAAGAAGCATGATAAACACCTATAGGATGGGAATCTTATGAATCCAGAAATCATCAAAACGGCCTTAAAAAAAACTGGGATTACAAAAAATATTATCTAGTACTATCCCCTATCGATGACAGCAATGAAGAAGAAAAGGGCCAACTTTACGGACGGCTGCAGTCAATCATAGAGAAGTGTTCAGGAAAGGAGATGACCAAACTGATGGGAGACCTGAACGTTTAAGTTGTAATGAAAAACATTAAGTATGAAGCTATCATGAGACGACGTAGACTGAGAGAAAGGAACGAGAATGGTGAGAGGTCTGAAATTTATGTGAATACACAGAGCTACATGTGTTTCACCGGATCACACTGAAGACCAGATCGATTACATTTACAACATAGAGGATGTGAGAACGACAAGAGAAGATATAACTTCAAATCATCGCCTGGTGGTGGCCAAAATGAAACTATAGCTAACGAATTGAATGATTGAAGGATCATCACTAGATAGGTCTAATACGTCCTTTCTTCAAGATACTGACAAACTCGACAAATTCAATATAGCTCCCAGAAACATGTTCCAAATTTAACAAGATCTATTCACAGAAAAGGAAACCACTATGGAAAATATCTGAAAGGGGATAAAAAGCAACAACTTCAAAAATACAGGACGTGCTTAGCAGTAAGAAACACCAGCATAAATAATGGATCTTTATTGGAACCCTAAAGGGGATTCAAGAAAGGAAGAACAAAACGGCAATCAACAACTGCAAAACAAGAGCAAAAAAGGTCAAGACACAGGCTGACCATACAGAAGCAAACGAACAATAGGGAAAGAGCATGCGAGTTGACAAGTGGAAATGGGTATATGAACTGGTAACTACAGTAGAACGAGCTGCAAAAAAAGTAGGCAAGAACTGTATGACCGAACGAAGAAACCAGCAGGGAAATAAAGTAAGCCAAGAAAAAACAGTCAAGAAAAAAGGAAAGCCAATCACTGAGATTCAAGAACAGAGGAACAAGAGGATAGAGAATTTTGAAGAGCTCCAAAATAGACCAACCCTACTGAACCCATCAGACATCGAAACAGCACACACAGACCTCCTCATACTTGTCACTCAAATCAAAGAAATCAACATAGCCATCGACTATGTGATTCAGGTACATTCATTTGACGAGTCCCAGAGAGGACGAAACGCACACTCTGGATTCTACTAATAATCCTCCTATTTTAAGGCAATATCGAGGAAATTCGTACAGGACGAACATATGCCAGTAGGAGACTTATCGACTGCAGTTCTAAATGCTAATGAGAAGATCCAAACAACGATACAACGTTAGTCAATGGAATGGAACTCGTTATGATACGTCAACTTCTATGACGAAGAGAAAGCATTTTAAAACAAGAATCGAAGGCACCTTGTAGCCTCCTTAAACACCTTAGAAGATAGTCAACACCACACGAAATTCATACGACGGACATTGCATAGTCGTGCATGGAGTGCAGCTGACAGATACATTCCAAGTGAAAACCAATGTCAGACAAGGCTACATACCCTCACCCTTTCTCTTTCTTCTGGTGGCTGACTGGAATATGAAAACCTGTGCATTTTAGGGGCAGCATGGAATACAATGAATAGATAGAATACAGCTAGGCGATTTGGATTTCGCAGATGACCTAGCTCTCCTATTCCTTATACGACAACAGATGCCGGTGAAGGTATTCAGTGTATCAGCAGCAGGTCTAACATTCACAAAGGAAAAAGCTTTGGAAGTAGTAGAAGACTTTCATGCATCTGGACATCATTGATAAACAAGAAGTATGTGAAGGCACGGATTGGCAAAGCAAGGGCAGCATTCTTAAGACCAAAGAATATACGGAACTCGAAACAACTGTCTGACAACATCAAAGTTTGAATTCCCAGCACCAACTTTAAAAACATTTCATTGCATGGACCAGAAAATCGAAGAATTACCAAAACCAATAGCATGAAAATACATATATTAATGGACAGCTGTTTACACAAGATAATCCAAATTCGTTGGCTGTATAACATCGGCAACAACCGAATGTGGTGGAGGACAAATCAGTTTCCAGCTGCAATTGAAGTCAAGAAAAGACGCTGTAATTGGATAGGACATGTTTATTTTTTCTGGTTAGCGTTTTTTTAGCGAGTTAGTCTTCTACGGGATGGGGACGCTAACCCCATGCCCAACTCTCCTCTTTTATCCGGGCTTGGGCCGGCAGTAGGCCCCGGAGGGACTCCAGGCGGAGTTTGGATAGGACACATGCTACAGAAATCATCAAACGGTACCACGTAGAGAGTTCCAACTTTAATTCCTCAGGGTAAAACGACAAGGGGCAGACCAAAAAACACCTTGCTCCGGGAATCGGAGGCAGGTATCGAAAGAAAAAAACTAACCGCGAATCGGGAGCTCAGGGGAGATTTATTTGGAGCCATTGTCGACGGTCAATGCTCCACGACGAGCAACAGATGTAATTAAACATGCAAAAATTTCTTCCAAATATTTTAAAGAACTATGGATATTATAACTGTTTGGCGAATATTTTAAAAGATAATGAATGGAAACGAATAAATGATTAACTTGAAGTTATTTGAAAATAAGCGATTGGTTGTGGATGATGCTCGTTAAGTGTCCGCATGCATAGTACTTAATATCACTTAATGCACCATTAGAACGAAATGCAGACCATATAGACAGAAGCAGTGGTGCTACAAATTTGTAAGAGGAAAAGAGATTTTACCACTAAGTCACCAGATAACGTGCACATGAATTCCGAACAGGACTAAGTAACCGAGCTACAACCAGTCTTTTAGCGGTATTGGAGGAAAAAACACATCTATGACCTACTTATATCGTATTTCAGGATATGGTAAATCCACTTGTTGAACTGTTTGAACGGGTAAATTAGTAATGAGAGAATCTGAAAAAAAACAGAAGATAAAAACATCAAATTTTTTTAAATATGTGATCAAAGAGTTACAATATAAAGTGAATTTCACAATAATGAATACCTTCATAACAGAAAACTGGAACCAAAAATAAATTAAACAGTTGTCCATACAGCCGCTTAAAGATGGCATCTAGCGAATTTGAATCAAATCTCCTTATATACCGCAATTTAAAGCCCTGAGTATTATCACATCAACAACTATGAGTAGATGAAAACTACATTAACCAATACATGTATTACAAGTAAAAATTAACTGAAATGTGTTTTGCTTTCTAATAACAAAATGGACATAAAACTACTTCAGACAAACAAACCTAAAAAAGTCGAATGACAAAAATTCACACGTCGCTTTTATGGAGATACAACTTCATCAGTTTATAATACGATTCGGAATGGTTATTTGAACATATAAACATTGGTACAAATGAGTATCAAATATATATATGACACAATAAAAGTGATGTTATGAAGAGATGGAGAAAAAAAGTGAATATTATAAAAAATAAGAACAGAAATGAATAGAAATTACTGTATGATGGTTAAATTATTATAATTATAATAATAATTATTATTAATATTGTGGGAAAAATACAACCAGAATTGTCCCAGTGAAATAAGCTAAGCTCACTTTCATGAAGAAAGCAAAAAAAAGTTACAACACGATCGCGATTGACTTTTATTTTGAACCATTTCTGATAAAGTATATGGTGAAGAGTGAAGATGTGACCACCACATCGAAAAACTGGACGAAAACCAGTCTGCTTCTTACAAGTCAATCTTTCCCCAGATTTAAACAATCTATGATGTACGACGGAAGCCAATGGTCTCGATACGATCGGAAGTAGACTCACTCCGATAATTGTTGCATAGATGACGAACAACCTTTTCAAAAATACAGTTAGCTACCACTTCATTCTGTCATGCTGTAATACTGTCGATCAAATATTTTCAAACAACACAGTCAAGTCTCGAATTGACGTTACAACAGGTTCCACCCACACTAGACATCTTTCTGCCAGTGACTTGAATGAATTGAAAGAACATCCGGCATTTGTCAAATGGAGCTGCTGCTTCCAACTCATTAGCACTCTCCAACTACCAGGCTTCTCAGTCCTTACGCAAACCTTGCACAATTTCCTTACGTAACAATCTCCATTTATGGTCAAACTCGTGGTTGACTGGAGTGAACTGACGTGCTTCAATGAGTTGTACGGAGCTTGTAAAAACCAAGTCCTTCTAAGTGAAACGTTTCGCAAAGCCGCAAGCGACTTTACTCGCAACTGTTATGGCGTCATGCAATTGCAGCCAATGCTCATCTACACTTTTCGGTGAGTTGATAGTCTTGAACCTAGTTCGGCTTGATGTTTAGCTACAACAAAAAGTGCAGCTAATTTGATAACATCGATCCATTTATGGCGATGAAGTTGTCGGCCACTGAAACGTAAGATAAAGTTAGCTCGAACGAGACCATGATCAGAGTCCAGGTAAATATTCCACGGGGAGCACAATTCTTGTACACAACCACGCCAGCAGCAGCTAATCGCCATGTGGCCGATCTGGGCCCAGGCTTGAGATGCAAGGGGAGAATACCAGGTAATACACTGGCGATGACTGTGCCAAAAGTTGGTTCTGGTCGAAAGTAGAACCAACAAATCCTGTTTAGACACCCAAAGGACTCTTAAGTATATAGAAACCCAACTTGCACATTGTAATCTCCAGCTATCATTACAATGTTCACCAAACGGGTTTTCTTTAGACCATTTAATTGGTGCTAAACTCATCCTTGATTTCATCTGGACTGAAATCGATTCGGGCATAGAGGGGGGTGAGCAAAGAACATTGTTTTCTAAATCCCACTTTGACGTAGCATTCTTACATCGCTTCATGTAGTCGACTGGCAATGAGGATTCAGTCGACTAGTACAGCCTCTTCTCTGAGGCTTAGTGGGTCACTAACTTAAGAAAAGCTGTGGAGTGATTTTGTAATACTTTACGGTTCTCGGATAGACCACACGAGTTGATTTTCATACCATCCAGCTTACTTTTGTTCAAGAAACTGGGTTTAAAAGGAATGTAGGAATGTGATGTTGTAATGAACGAGAACACACGTGAGAACAACAGACTGATTTTTTTAAACACGAAATTGCAGAGTATCTCTGTAAAATGTAAGAACCATATGCTGAATACTTCGTTTGCAAATTTCTATCATTTGTCTTTCACATTCTGCATGTTTCTTCCAGTTGACAATTCCTTTCTATTTTCCCGTCCTATCCTTCCACTTCCGATTTAAGTTGCATACTGCGTATCTTTGTTGACATTAGTAGCGTACACCACAATGACATTCGTTTATTATTATGATATGTTTCATCATAACTAATGAACCTGAAGTCCTAGAGGTTTCTGGAGATAACTGTAGTCGTAATCCGTTTGGTACTCCACTAGTAAGGAAGGGTAGGTAAGTATGGAAGTGCTATTTCTAGGAAAATGTTGATTGACTTTGAAGCTTTAGAATTTTTCGAACAATAGTAAATAACATTGAGGTATGTCGAGTCGGTAATTTATTCATACAACCGAAAACTATGAAACGGAATCTATTTCTTTAAGTATGCACGTGAATCTTGAAGAGTGCCGACAATCTGGAAACTACATGAAGTTATTTAAAATAACTAACACATATACACATGCATTCATGGGTGAATACAAAGGTAAGAGAGTAACAAGAAAGGGTTCAAAAATCAGTAGCGTTTCGAAGCTACCCAATACAGTCGTGAATTTTTAATAAGTAAAAACGTACTCATCGTTTTACCCAAGAATCGATGAATAATAGAAGAAACGACTTGATGATTACCATTACTGTCTACAAAAATTGCACCGAGAATCGATTCAAACACATCAGCCAATACTTTGATATTGAGCCCCGAAGAAACCTTCTTTGTAATTAACTAAAATTGTGGAACATAAAGACGTTCAGAGCATCTAAATAAATAGTTATAGAGCAAATATGGATTTTCAAAAGAGCACTTCTATTAAGTCAAAAAACTAAATCAAAATAAACCTAATCGATGCACACGTAAACCTTAATCCATAGGTCTTAGTAAATACATACCATCCATTTAATGGTTCAAAACATAACATGATAGTCAAATAGATAAATATAACTTCTATTTAAAACTTGGTAAGTGAATGGAAGACGTTTACGTTGGAAAAAAATCAAAATCCATTTTGAGAGGATAAAATTTTAACAAAAGTCAATAAAAACAGACAACTAAGGAAATAAAGATCAAAAGATTAATAGTAATTTGAAAAAGACAAAAAAAGTGAATGTAATTAAGAAGTAATATTGCGCCCAACACTTATAGAAAGGCAAAGAATGAATGTATTCGTATTGTTGATATCAGTGTCACTATTATGAAGCCGATAAGGGAAAAAAATTAAATGTGGAATATAAACATTACTAATCACAAGTTAGTATAGAATAGATGGAATGTCGCTTGCAGTGGAATCTAGAACGAGAGTTTCCTCATATTTTGGACTTTTTAGAGCCGATTCGCACAGGATCCACACATGCCAACCAAATTTCAGTCAAAATATCAACAACGGGTTAATCGAATAGCCAACTACAACTAGTCGTAGTATTAATTCAACAGTTTACAATGACACAAAGTTGTTTTACGTCACAGTTTGAGATCACCTAAGGATCGCCAGTTCCATACTTCTGAGGAGTTACAACCTAGACTAAAACAAATATCCAGTGCTCTCTGGATCTAAACAGTTCTCCTGCTGGTGGCACAATTCGAACAATCTGATCACACATATACTTGGTAAGAACATTCATATATAGAAATAAAAGGTCAACTAGAAATAGGGGTAAGAAGAGACAAGGATAATAGCAATAAGAGTAATAATAATAATGTGAACACAACTTGAAACCTAATCACTGGATAATAAGTCAATATTACCCTGATAATAGCCAGAGTGATTGGGTTTCAATTAGTGTTCACATTATTATTATTACTCTTATTGCTATTATCCTTGTCTCTTCTTACTCCCATTTCCAGTCTAGTTGACCTTTTATTTCTATATATCAATGTTCTTAACAAGTATATGTGTGATCAGATTGTTTGAAATGAATTGCGCTAATATATCACATAGTTCTGATAATCTTCGTCTTCTTATTACATTGTCGAAATTTATTAACTGATTTCTAAAAATAGGTAATTAGCATCCACTGACTGTACCAACTCAATTAATATAGGAAATAAATGATCCCACAATAGAATGTACTAAGAATACTAAGCAACATTTAAGCCATCTACATAATTTGTTATAAAATAAACTCAGTGAACAATATTGACTTTATTGCGCAAAAAATATTAAACTATAAAAGAGGTGTATTAGTCTACCTCAATACGTTCAAAATGTGAATCGGTTTGACGATGGATACTTTTTATATCATCAATGCATGCTTTCTGACTGCAATTCCCAAAATCGATGAATGGGTGGATTTCATGCTCAACAACAACATTAGCTAAATTAATATTACTGACAACGGTAGATCGTGCGGTGGTCAATGCACCTAGAAGAGAACATATATAATTATTGTTGATTTCTGTTAATAGAACAATAATGTTAGAAAACTAATTATGATTTATATTCAAATGCAACTAGATGGCTCAACGATGAAGTTCATTTTTCGCTTTTCCAGTTGTACGAGCAGAAAAACTACACATTATTTGACTGAAAATGTTTTTTAACAGCTTTAATAATTTATCGAAACAAATCAAATCCAAGTTTCGAATGACAAACAATAACCGAGAGTAACAAATAAATTATAATTAACCTCAACATCACTAAAATAATTTTGTCGCCAGATGTGAACGTTCCTTCGGATGCAATTACGATCAAACACAGAGAATCACCAAACATCCTTAGTTCCAACGGGCCAGACAGTGTAAGCCCTACCTTTTACACGTATATTAACATCACGACAGCTTCAAAGATGGACTAAAGTAGTAAACTATTGACATACTCAAGATCAAAGAGTCCTTCGACTATACCACCATTAACTACATCACAGCTGTTTCCAGAATGTCGTCAGTGGAGAATTTGGACTGTAATGATGAGACTGAGCAAAGTTGCTTAACCCCGATGTGTGTGGCCCCCAATGAAAACCACCTGCTTCGGTCTAGGCACCCAAGCAGTATCACAGCCCACACACATATATAATGAAATGTCGATATTTATGGAAAATACTTGCCTTGTTTCGATTAACAATCAACGACTCACATTATTATTATTATTATTATTATTATTATTATTATTATTATTATTATTATTATTATTATTATTATTTACTACATCATTTATTCACTCTTTTATTCCTACCTTATGTATCCTAATTTTTCGAAATACACAGCAGCTTGCCTATGGTAGAAACTAGGTTCTATCTAAACGTTCTCGAGTCACTGCCTGGTTGAAAGTTGTATGCTACCACCGAATACGAATACTGAAGCAGTTTTTCTGAAACCACGTGCACCATTCAAACTGGCTGCCTTCAACGTTCGCACACTTATGTGATCGATTCTGAGCCATGTCACCAAGAGTCTCCAACCATTGGTTACGATAGTCACACGGACCCCAACCAAGTAGTCTGCATCTACCAACATGGCTCAGACTACAAGTTAGTGACTTCAAGCACTGATGCTATGTTTTGGTTTGGCCGCCCCTAACTTTCTTCCAACCATCCCGAACACCGGTTAGCATTGCACGTCGTGGTAATCGGTGTTCGGGCATACGTAACACGTAGCCCAACAATCTCAGTCGATGAAGATTCACAACCTCATCGACTGGTTTACCATCATTCCCTAATACCCTGCGTCTAACCTCATTATTACTTACCCGGTGATCCCAGCAGACGCCAGCAATACTTCTAAGGCATCTGTGGTCAAATACTAGTAGCTTACGAGTGTCTTCTACTCTTAATGGTCATGTTTCGCTGCCACAAATTAAAACAGAACGGACTGCCGCGCAGTATACTCGTCCTTTTATTGATAGACGAATATCTCGCCTTCGCCATAGGTGACGTAGGTTGGCAAAAGACAAACGAGCTTTTCGAATCCGTGCTGATATTTCGTCACACACCAACCCATTAGGGCCGATCAGACTTCCAAGATAAGTGAAGTTTTCGACGAGTTCGACTACTTCACTCCCTATCCTTAGTTCAGGTGTTGACGCAGACCAATCCTGGAGCAACATCTTGCATTTAGAGGGAGAAAAGCGCATTCCAAACATTCTGGCATTGTTGCTTAGTGCTACCAAAAGACTGCATTTTATCAGCGTCTTCGTCAAACAGGACTATGTCATGTGCGTATTCTAAGTCGATAAGTGGACCTCCTGGAAGGAGATCAATACCCGAGAACTCAGTCGACGAGAAAGTTATTTCCATTAGTAGGTCTATGATGAAGTTAAACAAAAATGGGGAAAGTGGACATCCTTGACGGACACCATTTGAGGTTGCAAAAGTAGATGACAGTTCGCCAAAAGCTCTGACTCGACTAGTAGTGTTCGAGTAAAGAGACTTTCAATGACAAACACTGCCACAGAATCTCGCGGTCTACCGAGTCAAATGCTGCTTTTAAGTCAAGAAAGACCACCATTGTCGGACGCCGGTAAGTATGCCTATGCTCTAGAACCTGACGAATGGTGAATATGTGGTCGATGCAGCCACGATCAGGTCTGAAGCCAGCTTGATTCTCTCGTGTTTGCAGTTCACGAGTTTTAGTTAGGCGTCTGATAATTATCGAGGCTAGTATTTTAGATATTATATTAGTTAAACTAATCCCTCTGTGGTTGTCGCAGGATGATTTTGACCCTTTCTTATATATTGGGACGATAAGTGATTATGACCATTAAGATGGGATAACGTCCAACTCCCAGATCTTAACTAAAACATTAGTCAACCTAATCGCTAAAATTGGGCCACCATCCTTAAAGACCTCTGGAGCCAATCCATCTGGACCAGCTGCTCTTCCTCTTTTCAGATTAACTATAGCCTTTTGAAACTTGCAAGAGTTGGCGGACCTACTTCAATGTTCCATTCACACTGTCTGGGAATGGACGGTAGTTGTAGAGTCGCTGAAGGCCAGTTGAACTGTTCCCTAAAGTGCTCCGCCCATCGTTCTAAACGTCTGGACTGGGAGTAGATGAGAGTATCGTCTTTTTCCGAAATAATCTCACTTACATTAGACTTATTAGTTCCAGTTTCTTTTATTAGTCTGTAGGGCTGTCTTGTGTTCCCTATAGCCGCCGCCTTTTCCATCTCTTTTGCTTTCGTTGCCCACCACTGCTCACGGTCGTACCTTAGACTTTTTCTTAACTTAAATCTGGTTCGTTGTCGCTCTTCATCATGTTCGGAACCTGATGGGACGAGTTTGCGAGAATCCATCAGTGTGATAGACTTTGAAGAAATCCACTGGTTCTTTGTAACTCTGTGGTTTAAGTCACTAATAGATTTCATTGCTGTTTCCACAGCTGTTTGTATATCTTTCCAAGCAACATCTGGGTCAGCCTCGTTTTCAGAACTACCTAATTGTGACCTCAGTTGTTCCTGGAACTTACTTTTGGTTTTCTCGTTACTCAACTCAGTTCTAACGGGTCTTTTTAATGTGGCTTTTTTGCGTCCAGTGAGGCGCAAGCAGATGCGTGTCCGTATTAGGGCGTGGTCGGAGTCCAAGCAGGTACTCCAGAATGAGCGACAATCTTCTACCAACGATGACTGATGGCAATATGGTCTATTTGAGTTCATCGTTGGTTTGGTGTAGGGGGTCACCATGTTAGACGATGTCTCTCCTTATGCTAAAATTAAACGATTGACTGAGCATAGTTGCAGCAGACGATCACCATTATTTGTTCGTTGTGCCGGAATACTAAAATACTCACCTAAATGCCTGTTTGGTTTAAACTACCTATCTGGGCATCAAAGTCACCTGCTACGAGTACTATGTCTGAACGTTTAGCTTTCTGAAGAAGTTCAGATAGCTTTCTGTAAAATTCATCTTTCACTTCATTTGAGCTGCAGTCGGTGGGAGCGTAGGCAGAAACGACAAAAAGGCAACGACGTGTGCCTCTATCCTTTCGAGTTCTTACGGAGCCGTTTAGCCGAACAGCACATAAACGACTGTTAACGGGGATCCACTCTGACAGTGCTTGTTCCGCCCTCATGCTTAGTGCTATCCCTACTCCTGCCAGTCCACGAGAGCTGGCCGTCAGGCCACCAGATACACGGAGGGTGTGTCTCGTTGACTCTCCGTTTTGCCGAGGTGAGGTCAAGTGAATGACCACACTGGGATCCGGTATGTGTTTCAGAAACACAACATACATCAATGGTACGGGATCCTAGGGTTTTAGCTAAGAAAGCCTGCTGACCGATTCGACATAGGGTGCGTACGTTGAAGGCTCTAATGTGTAGTGTGGAGCGAGGTTTCAGTAGACCTGGGACAGTGTTTTGAGCACTAGAATCGTTGGCTATGATGATATTTGAGGAGAAAGCCCAAAAAGGAAGTTTAGAGGTGAAAGTCGATGTAGGAGGAATAATAGAAAGTGAAGACGGAGGTTGATTATGGATACAGTGGTCTTGAGTGCTGTTAGAGGTATGAGGGCGGTTATCACTTCCCGGTTGCCCACACCATGGAAGGGTTCGTATGGAGGTACCTGAAAAGGAAATTGGATTAGAGGTGGTCTTAGTGACCTGGGAGCGTAACCGCAGTGCCCAGGAGACAACTGCTTGAGGTCGGTCACACACGACCTTTTTATGAGTAATTTTCGTGTTAGCTCCGTACTTGTTGAGACCTTACCGCCGGAGACGGATATCCGTGGGGTAAGGTGAGGTGTACATTTTTAGGGTCGACCTTTTCTAACCCCAGCACTCCTTGTGAGAAGGCAGCATCGCTGTCATGCTGGTTGCCCGAAGGAAACACCTTACTGCTGTCACACCTCTGTACAGTCAGCAGTACGACTTCGCCTTCGGACCTTGGGTTTGTTGCTTTTAATCTTACCGCTCATCGACCGACCTTTCTGATATAGTAGGACCTTGAGGAACGGTTGTTCCAGTCAGTATAGCTCGGTTGCTTCATCAAGATAGGCAAGCCCGACCACCACGTCATGGTAGCAACAACGGCCGGGGCAATTAGGCTTAATTTTTGACCATCATATAAATTGCCGTGCACGATTTTAAGGAAAGGTTTTGTTAGTAAATCTATGACGAATCTAAACTCTCGTTTCTCTGGAATAGTTTTACATGTTTAGTTATATATTGAAAATATTTTTGAAACTTTCTGTTACATTTACATCTGAAGTGAAAATAAATAGTTTAAAATAAGCTAACCTGGGGATGAGTGAGGACATTTTTGAAACAGATAGTTGCTGATAATATGGCCCAAAATGGAATCGCCAAGAAATTCTAACCTTTGATGAGATAAATGTGTTTTAAAAGGACAACCATTTGACGATAGTATGCCAAGTGAAGAGCAGTAATAATAAAAAATAATAATAATAAACATAAAATCTAAAATATATAAAATAACGAAAATGACGTCATCAAAACCCAAGTAAAATTATGTTTGTAAGAAAAAACATCATGGTTCAATATCAAACAAACTAATTGGTGAAATTTAAAAATACCGTTGCGTGAAATTGGAGAAAAAAAGAATGAATAATTTATTCAAGAAACAGGACAGTACAGTTTCCCTTCAAGAGAAATAGACTTTTTCGTTCCGTAATTACATCTACTATATTTTTCTGCTGCGGTTGTTTACCTTACCAAATGTAAACTTACAAATGTAGCAAATTACATCATATTTAGTGAATATATCGGAATTTATTCGTACTCGACCCCTGGTCAATTTTGTACATTTTCTTATCCTGTTCTGTAAAAAGATCATTTGACAATGAGATAAGACATTTAATAAGAAATGCTTTGGGAATGTTATATTTCAGGGATACAGATTAATAGACATATGATGGTGAAAGAATGGATTAAATTTAGATCTTACTTATTGTCCAATCGGTTTGTCGGTTTTTGATAGAGTTTATGTATCAATACTTTGGTACAATAAGCAGATCAGCAAACAGACATATATTCACATGTACATACACTTAATGTATATTGAGGATTATTCGTCTGTGCTAGTGTAAAGTAATTTATATGATATTGAATAAGAATTGAGCCTTAAACTAGTTCAGACAAAAGTAATCCTGAGTGGGTTTGAAGCTACAATACAAATTGTCTTAGAACTAAAAACTGATTCTAATAGTTGAATATATCGAATACAAATTATAATAAAGAGTGGTGTACTTGTATGAAGTAATATTTAATAATGATCCACAGTATTATTGAAGACTTGTCATATTTTTTCCGTCTCTCTACAAAGTACGGTCTGAATTAAAATGCAGTAAATTCGTTTTCCCTGCAAACGATAAACAATTCACGATAACACTTGTAACATTTCAGTGAATTGTATAGATATCGTTAAAGGAAACTTTAAGAAGCAAATATTCACGCACATAATGAACAATCAGAAGCTTCAAAACAACAAGTATTTTATTTTTTGAGATTTCAATATGCATTTATTCACACAATTCTTTTTCATTTTCCTTCTTGTTATATTACTATTACACTGATTGTGACTTGACACTATTCTGAATCATTTGACCCTTATTATATGACCTTTGTAATTTGCAAATAACACAATTTTGAAGTATATATGTCGTAACAGATGCAAACGTTCACCAATTTTAACACATAATATTGTCAAATTCATTAATACATACCTTATTTTGACCTCTGTAAAATATCACGATAGTTATGGACTTATAACTGTAGAGACTGATGATAAAGTTATTGAAAACAATTGTCTACTAAAAAAAATCTAAATATAACTAGTGATTAGACTTTCACTAGACTTGCGGTTGCCGGGTATTTTATTGTCTTTTTTCCTAACGTATTATCATTTGATACATACTATACTGAATTAAAAAACTCGGATGGATTCAATATTATGATTTGAGCAGTCAATATATTTTTATGCTTATCCTGTAAGAGAAATGTCTATGATAGTTCAAATTCTTACCTAGAACTTTAATCCTAAGTATAGTTACGATAAGCACAAACTTAACTAATCAATTTGAACGGATGAAACATGAATAATCGTCTAAATAAAGGTTCTGTGTAGTTCATTTGAATGTAAATCTTATACAATTTAAAAAGTATACATATATAATGTGAAAATGAGATGCTTCAAACAATTTGCCAAATCATGTTATGTGAAACTATACATTAAATTATGTAGGGATAGTTGTAGCTTATGTAACTCATCGTACCTTTGATAATTCCCCCAATATTGTCTATTAGATGATGACTGATGAGTCACAGCTTCCGCAAGCAATTCAATTTTTTTAAAACCATAACCTAGTTTTTCTTGTAACGGAAAAAACCTTTGATTTAACTCCAGTATAATTTCCTTCGAAACATGTAAGGATCTAGATGAAGGATTGAAAGCATTTCCATAGTTTAGTTCTGAATATAATTTTGGTTGTAAAAAAAAGTGCCATGGAGCTTCAATTTTGTAATGCTTATCGCTTTTTAGGGTGCTCCAACTCACTGGACATATTTGAAAATAATGAAGTAAATTAAATGCAGCAGATAGTCCTGAACGTAGTAAGAAACATCCTATAAGTGCTTCAATCATATCTGCCAAAGATTTATCTGTTAAACGTGTATACAGACGTGGATCATATTTACAAGCCTATAAATGGAAAATGCACAAAATAATTAAATGATAAGAAATTAATCAATATTAACTGGTCAAATGTGTTCTAAGTAACCAGCGTCGTTGTCAAATTGAAGGTGAAAAGTGTATTGTCGATTGACTATATCTATCAAACGATAGGCTGGGTGAGTCTAGGTATATCACGTGCCGTTTTTCACATGCGATTTTTGAGTTTAATGGTAGATAAGAAATTCTAAAACACGGTGTTGTAGGAAATCGTTTATGTCCATATTCAAAGTCTCAGTCTATATATCCTTATTCAAAGTTAGAAGAATAATCGCAAATACACTCATGAATTATGTGCATTGTTATTCGGTTCGGGAACTTTCTTACAAAGTTTAGTCTACTCTTTTTCATAGTAGGTTGAGTATGCCTTATGAATTGAACGGCAAAACACATTGGTCAAGTCGATATTTTTGTTTACAGTGATGACCTATTAGTTAACATACATGAGCTTCAACTGTTTGTTTGAGGGTTTGAACCACACCTCTTTTATTTTTAAATCAACCAGCTAGGTAGTTCCACCATTACTTAAAAAAAAGGTATGACTTCTAGTCATTCATACCAATCATCTTTGCATGGTAACGGAGGTACATTTACACAGTCTGTCGTGGTCAACTCATATCATAATTAAGCAACGATGGATAGTGGCTAGCAGTGGAATCCAGGCCGCGCGTTTCGTCCTGTCTGGGACTCGTCAGCTGGTTGTACCTGCATCTCAGAGTCGATGTTCACTCTGGGACTCGAACTCAGTACCGTTCGCTTCAAACGCCATCGCGTTATCCACTTAGTTACTGAGTCCTGATAACCACTTGCTTGTGCAATGGGATGAAGTTTAATTCACTTGCTATTGTTTTACTTGAATCTTCCCATTGATTTTTTAGAACTGTAATTGATCAGTCTCTTATTGGCATATGTGCGTATGCCTCGATATTGCCTTAATTTACAAGCTGACGAGTCCCAAACAGGACGAAACGCGCGTCCTGGATTCCACTGCTAGCCATTATCCATCTTTGCTTATGCTTGTAAATTAAGGCAATATCGAGACATACGCACAGTATGCACATATGCCAATAAGAGACTGATCAATTTCAGTCCTAAAACATCAATGGGAAGATTCAAGTAAAATAATACCAAGTGAACAATATCATAATTGTTGTGGCATGGTGGTATAGCCACAACAAATATTAGTTTCTTCTTTTCACACTTAATATTACTTTGACCTTTGTAATGCAGCAATACCATGTAATCCACACTTATTCTAATTGGCTACTTTTACAATAATATACACACTGTGATGTTTACTTGCATAACTGCCTTAAAGTTTTAAAAAATTTTGCTTTCTCAATTCTTAGCCTCATGTGATTATCATCGTCGAAGTGCTGTTGTGCATTCATTGTTGATCCATACAGCCGCTTTACATTCAGTTCATATTAAAAGCATCTCCCCATTGTTCTTATTCTAGACTTAAATCAACTTATATAAACTAGAACAATGTCAACAATGAATGTTTCTGAGAATGTTGGCATGAAAAAGAAAATATTATTTCCATGTTAAATTACTAAGCATTTATCTAATGAATAGTCAAGCTCGGTGCTGACGGATTAGAAAAATCAGATGAAATTAGCACTACGTGAATATGACTGATTTACGTTTATGTTAATACAAACACAGAAATAAAATAAAGTATCTTGATCAAATAAGCATGTTGATGATCAGCTATCTGAACGAGAGACAATATGGTCAGCTGCCTAAAAAAGTTGCTGAATTATGATTTACTCTAGTAATGAGGTCCAATAATCTATCCATCGATTTTTTAACATCAAATAAATAAATGAAGATTGAAGTGCTTTTTCCTAAATTTTAGACCCACGGATTTATTTCTAATACATATCGTGCCAATTTTATCTACACATATACATTTTAAAGGAACGTCTTGTGAACCGAAACCGGTCCTGAGAAGCATACACATATGGTAAGGCCTACTATAATTGCTAAAGGGCAAATCAACGGTGGTAGTTATTGTCGAATACACATAAAACGCTGATTCGAATGCATACAAACTTATTCTTATATGACATGTACTCAAAAAGTTCAACGTAACAACAGGAGAGTTTTACTGTGAGTAAAATATGAAAAGTACCGAAAAGAAAGTAGTGTTCACAGTCATAACTGAAACATGGTTTATGTTTTTTAACTGCACTATGAACGATTCCCAGTCACAAATAGTCGTATCAGTGAATAGGCGTAACTATCCTTATTCGCTGATTTATTCAAACCGGACTATATCCTGGTCTGACTAACAGTTGATACACTTCAAAGTCTGTTTTATGAAGATCCTAAAATTTCCTGACCAAATGAGGAGAAACTTCACCCATACCAAATAAAATTATTTCGAGTATTATTTTTGATAGAAATTCAACTACAGAGGGCAATCAAAGACAGATAATTGAAGTTGATAGATGAGACTAAGGAAATTAAGAAGATAACTAATTAAAAGTTGAGTTCTATTTCCTCACTGTCAAAGGTTTCAATTACCCTGTTTGTTAAAATGTGGCTAAATAACAGACTTCATTATGTACCAATCGGGAAATAATATATGAAAATACTTGAAAATGAGAAAATGGAAGCTGTATAATATGGTGAAGTAAAGAACTGCAAAATTTTCTTTAGTGAATATATTTATATTCAATAAAGCAAATTAAGAACAAATAAGTGAAATTTTTGGGACGTAAGTAAAGAAACACTGAAGAAACCTTAATTTGTCACTAACCTCGGACGCAACAGAGTAGCATGGGGGTAAAAAGTGTTCTGGTGGCGAAAATATTTGACCGGTACAATATTCATACCATTTTAAGTCGCAAGCAATATCGCAGAGATGAGCATTCGATACAAGTGAACCTCTTTTGGAACTTAAACACCCTTCATCAGCATCTTGTGGATTGGTGCCATAAACACATAATGTAGATATAAAATGCAAGAATGAATCGCCATAAAATTCTAAACGTTCAAGATCTACTGCATCTCGAGCTCCGAGTAATGTAGTTGGTTCAATTAGATTATTAGGGTGAGGGCAAATTGTAGATTTCTCTAAACTTTCACTATAGGCTTTATTATCCAATTGTTTATCTATTTCTGAAGTTGTTTCATCCACTTCAAAATCAAAGATATTTTTTTCCATTGGTTCACCATTCAAAAAAACAGGAACACTTAAACGATCAGGGACAAGGATGGTTGTATGAGAAAGTGAATCATTGCTTAGAGTTAATGAATTTATTCTAATTTGAGAGAATGGTTGAGGACTTTTCAGTTCATAATTCAACTCTGTGAACAGTTGTGAGGCTAGTAACGCTCGTGACATTTGGTAGAGAATTGTTGGTATCAAGGAAACTTGGAACCAAATCCATGATGACAATGGATGCACTAAACAAGCATCAGATAGGAACACTGATGGTTTGATAGATGCTTTATTTTTCCTTAGACCCGCACTAACTTGAGTCGAATTTTGATGACGTGTTATTCTCATACATTCAAACAATGGTAGTGATGGATTTATTGTGAAAGATATGGTTCTCATCTGTTGATATTTAATTCTATAGTAGTCGGAATAGGTTAGAGAGGAAGCGCCTTTGACATTTTGAACATCACCAAGTTTGGAAGCAAGGGTTTCCGGAAGAGGACTTGAAGCAGTTTCCGAACTAACCTTTGAGATAGAAAACATACCAGGATCACTATCCGGTAAGTGATTAGGTTTGACGACCAAACCAACCCAATTGTCTTCAGGTATTTGACTCAATCTAATTCGCCATTTAGGCACAATACCATGTACAGGTTTAACATGCGTGGACAAATTATCATCAGCTGTTGAAATTCCATTATCTCGGCAAACAGACCACTCTAGAAGTGCGTTGAGTGCTTCATAATCGATAGTATAATCTATAATCATAAGATACATAAAATATATCCAGCATTACCATTTAAAAGTATCTTGCACAATCATAAGATATACCATGTAATTTGCCATTTAAGGTTGAGAACAAACTGAATGTCATGATCTCTAATAGTTATGTCAGAAACAAGGGTAACTTTTTCTACCGGAATTATTATTCTAATTCGTAAGCATCTATCTCGAACCCGAAATTAAGCAAAATAAAGACATTATATGTGAAAATTATATTTCAAATAATCTCAGTGATTGAAATTTAAATAATTCCAACGTTTCGTCCAGTTAATTTGTCCGGACTTCTTTAGGGTAATAATAGCTGAGATTATTTCAAATATAATTTCCACATATAATGACTTTTCGGTACTCGGAGCCCAATTTCTGTCAAACTATTCGTTCTAAACTTGACAATATTAGTACAAAATAAAGACAGTTCGGAGAAAATCTGCTTTCCGACGATATCGATTACAAAAGTTGTACAACCGTATTCCTGGTTATTTTATCCAAAACAGTCTATAATAAAACAGAAAGTTATAAAGCGATTGATTGAAGTGTCAAAAGTTAGCCAAAAATTCTAAGTGTCTGATAGAGTTGCGTAATAGTCTGTGTATTAAGAATAGAAATATTTAAGAGGGAGATGTGAGAGATTGTCCACTTGACAAATAAGAAGAGAAAAAGATGTATCAAAAACAACTTATAAGAGGTGTTAGGACTACAGTAAAATGGGAGATTGGACACCGATTCTGAGCACAAAGACCAGGATTGAATTAATGAATTGCCAAAGCATCTATTGTGCATAGATTTTTCATCCAGCTTTCTTTAGAACAAGTTATTCAAACTTAGTGAATAATTGCATATGAACATTCCGGTAGACGTACATGACCATATCTTCAACAATGGAAATAAATAAAAAATATATTTGTAATATCCCAATGAGTAGAAAAATTAGGTTTTCTGACATTTCATGACTTAGTGTAAGTCAGTCAGTAACAACGTAGAACTTAGTACGTACGTATATCAGTTCGAGTTGCCATACCACATTAGCACAGAGATGCAGTGGTCGATTCAAATCCCGTAGTGGTAGAGGTAGCAAGAGTATAAGAAGTAATCGGGAAGATTAGGGTTTGGAGATATTATTTAACGAGTATAATCCAGTGAAATAAATTTGGAAAGAGGAAAAAAAGGGGCATGAAGAATTCAGATAATTAGAATTTGGGAGAACATAGAGAGTGGATGCACCTGCGCCATTGCAAACGATTTTGAGCCATGTCATTCAGGGTCTCTAACTATCGGTTGCTATCATCTCGCGGTCCCCAACCAGGTAGTCTACACCTACCGACATGACTCAGTCCACTTGTCAGTGACTTCATGGATTTGTGCCATGTTTTGGTCTGGCCGCCCCTAGCTTTCTTCCAACCTACTCCTATACCACTGAATATAGCACGTCGAGGTAGTCGGTGGTTGGGCATACGTAACACGTGTCCCAGCCATCTCAACTGATGAAGTTTCACTACTTCATCAATTGATTTGTCATCCTTACCTAGTACCCGTTTCCTAACAGCTGCGTTACTTACTCGGTGGTCCCAGGATATACGAGCAATACTTCGAAGACACCTATGATCAAATACTAGTAACCTACGAATATCCTCTACTCTTACCGGCCATGTTTCACAGCCATAAAGTAGGACGGAACGAACTGCTGCGCAGTAAACACGTCCTTTGGTTGGTAGACGGATATCTCGCCTACGCCATAAATGACGCAAGTTTGAAAAAGCTAGTCGAGCCTTCTGTATCCGTGCTGAGATTTCGTCACACACCAGACCACAAGGGCTGATGAAACTTCCAAGATAAGTGAAGCGGTCGACACACTCAACTACTTCACTCCCTATCACTAGTTCGGGTGTCGATGTAACCCAATCCTGAAGCAACATTTTGCATTTCGAGGGAGAGAATCGCATCCCGAACATGCCTGCATTGTTGCTTAGAGTGGTCAGAAGACTCTGCATTTTGTCAGCGTCTTCACCAAATAAAACTATGTCATCTGCATATTCTAAGTCAACAAGTGAACCTCCCGGTAGAAGTTCAACCCCCGGAAATTTAGATGAGGAGAGTGTTATCTCTAAAAGTACGTCGACCACAAAGTTGAACAAGAATGGGGAGAGTGGACAGCCCTGACGAACACCACTTGAGGTAATCAATTCTGATGACAGTTCGCCATAAGTTCTCACTCTACCAGTTGTGTTCGAGTAGAGAGCCTTTATAAGGTTAATGTACTTCTTTGGTACTCCTTTCAGTGACAAACACTGCCATAGAACCTCACGGTCAACAGAGTCGAATGCCGCCTTAAGATCGAGAAATACTACCATTGTGGGGCGTCTGAATGTGTGTCTGTGTTCTAGAACCTGACGTAGTGTGAATATCTGATCTATACAGCCACGTCCAGGTCGGAAACCGGCCTGGTTTTCTCTAGTTTGCTCTTCACGAGCTTTGATTAGGCGTCGAAGTATTATTGAAGCTAATATTTTAGACACTATATTAGTCAAACTGATTCCTCTATGATTGTCACAAGAGGACTTTTGTCCTTTCTTATAGACTGGCACAATCAGTGATTGAGACCAGTCAGATGGGATTACGTCCAGTTCCCAAATTCTACCTAAGACCTCGGTTAATCTCATTGCTAATACTGGACCACCATCCTTAAAAATCTCAGGAGTAAACCTGTCAGGGCCTGCTGCTCTCCCTCGTTTCAGATTTCCTATGGCTTTTTCAACTTCGTAAAGAGACGGAGGACCTACATTAACTTGCCATTCAGGTTGACTGGAGATCGTGGGAAACCGAAGTGTGGCTGAAGGCCAGTTGAACTGATCCCTAAAGTGTTCTGCCCATCGATCCAATCTCCTGGATTGAGAATGAATAATATGTCCATCTTTCTCTGCGATTGTTTCGCTAACAGTCGGGTTCCTAATTCCGGTTTCCTTAACGAGTCTAAACAATTGTCTGCTATTACCTATGACTTAGTGTAAGCTACTTCATCAGAGAATAAATAACCAAATCAAAATTAACCCCAGTTTTTGGAAATAATAACCGATTTGCAATTACCTGTGGATAGCTAAGCTAGGTAGTTTCGGGATAAGCGCTTGGAAGGGGCATAGTTTGTGGACCCGCTACAGCATGCTCCATAAGGACAAGTAAACTGGTGAATACACGCTGAGGTGCAAAACGATCTGGAAAGCTCAATTATCGGAACTGAGGAAAATATTGACTTCAAATGAACAATAAACTATATTCTTCAATAGATATCTGATAAACGGATATATCAAAGGTAAACTGCTGCTTTTATCGTAGGCAACTACACGTAAAGCAACTACGAATACGAAGCTATATTAAACAATTTCGTAGAAAACAAAACTGTTTCCCGTGTATTGTTTTTATTTTGTCTAACCCAAAATTAACTATCCATCAATACAATATAAAACGGCCACCAAATGAGACTATTTTCACAGACAAAAATGAGCATCTTATATGGTTATAACTGATAAGGACAAAAAACGAATAAAATGCAATACGTGTAGTGAAAACGTACTAATGACAACATATATTCAATAACCGGTAAACGTATATTAAATTATACTCGTTATGATCTCTCTAATTATGACCCAGCTGTTCTGATTGCAAAGTGTTATTAGAACACTACTTCACTTGATAAGTCCTCAAACCAGAACACGGTTGAACAGGAACGCAATTATATTTCACACAAACAAGATAGAATGGGAGTAAGAACTATAATAAGAAATACGTTAGCATATTTGGAATTTTAAACAAAAAGCCTTCTCCAAGTATCTGCTGGCGCTAATTAGCTAAGAAATGGTCGATCAATGTGCTCCAACACAATCTATATTCCGTTAAAATTACACAACGCAGAAATAGCTGTTTCTTAATCCTAAGTGAAAAAAACACCTTTTGAGATTTAAAACCAAGCGCTTATTAGTATGAATTCTAATTTCAAATAGTCAATCGAACGAAACGTAGAACTCGGTAATTATGTACATCGGTTCGATTCGCCGAACCGCAGTGACGCAACAAAATGAAATTTTGAGGACAAAGTCCAGGGTAGTTGAGATAGTATCAGTAGTAACGGAAAAAATCAGGCATCGAAGATACGATTCAAGAAAACACAACACAAATAGTGAGAAAATGGTTGAGGAATTTGGAAACATGGACTCTACAAAAAGACGAAGAAAATGTAAATTAGTGAAATAAAAAGATTATGAGGGATTTAGAAACCTGAAATTTAGGTGAAAACAAAGAGTAAATCCATATGCGCCCTTGCAAACGATTTTGCCAACGTCATTCAAAGTCTCTAACTACTAGTTACGATAATCACGCTGTCATGACCATGTATTCTATACCTACCTACATGGCTCAGTTCAATTGTCAGTGACTTCATAGACTGATGCCACATTTTGGTCTGACCGCTACTAGCCTTCTTCTAACCTATTTTTACATAGGTTAACATCGCATTGACGTAGGTGGGTTAGGTTGCGTCCAACGACAAAACTATAAGTCTGCCAGTTTACCAGATTGCAAAAACATCCTGCCCCTAAATTTCTCGGTACGGCTGAGGGTTACGAGAGTCAGCTCTTCTCAAAATGCTCTCACATGGCGACGCGTATACGGCCTCTTCCAGGGAAGTCCTACTCACTGCCTTCTCGCGGCAGGGGTGTTGTTTACGGAGTTGAGAGGACGGAAATTGAATGTCCGTCGCTTTAACCGGGTTGGTGGACACGGGGGATTCACCTAGAGGAGTTGGGAAACCCTGATTCCAAACAAATGGCGCACATGGTCTCCAGGATCCTGAAGGAACAGATGGTGTGTGAACCAATTACTAGTAACCGGCTACCATGGGACTGCATATCCTTACGTTGTTCCACTGCCTTGGGGATCAGATCTTTGGGTCGAAGGCTCCAGGTGTGGTCCCCTAAGAAAACCACCT